ATGGCACACGGGTGATTTGGTGATGGGAAACCCGCGGGGATTACAATTGAGATGGAAAAAAAATGTACAAAATGATGTAAAAATAAACTTTTGTAATAAAAAAAAAAAGAATCACTTAGAAGGCTGTTTAACTGCATTTTTTTAGATGTGACTGGTGATTCTAAAATTGGGCTGCTTTATTCATGCATGTAAGCCGTGATGGGGCCACATCACAAAGAGACAAGTTCCAGGGATATTGAGGCTTATTGCAGTACCAATACTAATACATTAAGCAGCTTGTAACAAGCTTATGACCTTAAAGGTCTGCCACTTTAGATTGTTTATATAATATGGAGTGAATACTTCCCAACTGTGCTCTTTGGGACCACAGTGGGGGAAGCACGTTTTTAACATTCTACTTTGGATATTTATTCAATTTCTATTGATTTCCACCAGAATGAATGGGATCATGGGTGGTCATTTAATCTCACTTAAAAAGTAGATCTCAAGTAAAAACAGGAACATCAAGTTACAGTGTCCCAATAATTCAAAATGATGATAAAATATTTTTAAAAGGTTGCATGTTGGAATGAAGGCTTCAGATTGGACTGAACATTTCCTACTATGAGACCACTTACTTTCTGAAGCATCCTGGCCACACCACCATCATCCATCTCACCAACACATCTTTCCAAACAACTTTTTTTTTTCTTTTTTTTTTTTTTTTTTTGGTAATTCAACTGCATTTCCTGTCAGGCAATACTGATTTTGAAACCTAACAGTGGCAGGAGGATTTCCGGAAGGTTTGTTTATGTTTCCATGAAACTCCTTTTTTTTCTCTTTTGTTTTTGTGGTCTAACTAAACCAGAATGGTAAGTCAATTTTGACAAGCACACTGGCTTCCATCATACCTAAGTGAAGTAGGAATTTGTGCCAATTGTGGCTTTTTAGCTCTTGGGACCTTGATATTCTTCCAGCAAATGGGGTTTGTGGCCTTAAGTAGGCCTTTAGCTCTTGGGACCTTGATATTCTCCCAGCAAATGGGGTTTGTGGCCTTAAGTAGGCCTGGCTCCGTAAGTGGTTGGAGAAGTGCTTCAGAGAAGGCTGAAGCTCGACAAGTAGATCAGAGGCTTAGTGTTTCTTCAAGTGAGTGAAACCATGAATTGAATTGAATTGAATTCTATTGAATTGAATTCCAGGCCAGGAATGACTATATGCCTCTAATAAGCAGAAATTCACTTTCCCCCAGATACACCAAACATACTATCCCTTCACCTGAGTAACCTCAAAATCAAATACTTAATGCAAAAAAGAAGTAATCGGACTATTCCAACCAGGCCTAGCCCAAGCAGACCAGTTAGGTTTGCACTTAACACCTTCCTGCCTTTGTCTGTTCTTTCCCACAACCAACAAAAGACCAAGACGCCCAGTCTCCAAAAGTACAAAGGGCTGAAAAGGTTTACTAAGAGGACCAAATGTTCACAGGGAAAGAAACTTCTCGTGTTGGAAGTGCAAGCTTTGGTGCCAGGCACCACATTTTACCAGCTCCTTTCCAGGCTCACCCTTCCTCTCCCACTACAGTCAACTTTTTCCAGGTTCCCTAGTTTGAAAAAGTTCACAGACAGACAGGAAAGCATGGAGCTATGACCCTTTTGCCATGAAATTTGAACTCAAGTGATAGAACAGTTTTCTTCTATCAAAATATGCCTTTATGACTGAAGGACTAATTAGAAAAAATCATTCTTTTTCCTGAGCTGTATTGAATAGTCTCAAGTTTTTAAAATTGAATTTAAAATTTCAGTGACCTGAAATATGGTTCTTATTTTCATTTAAACAGTATTTTCTTAAATCAGCAGAATTGCATAATTGTTATGAACTGCAGCAGAAACAGTGATGTTTAAAATCCTCTCAGTATGTGTGTGTAGTAATAGGAAGTTTTCATGTTAACTGATATCAAATGCTTCCTGACCTCCTTAGCTACTAGAATATGTCTTCACTTTCCACAGTTCCAATCCATCTTATTAGACATTAAAATACATGCTATTTTATTACCACAAATTCAGTGTCACTGAATTCATTCCTGTTAGTGTCACCATAACACATGCTCTCAAAGAATTTGGGCAGGGAAAGGCAAACAGTAGCATTCTAATAAATGAAAATAGCTCTTTCATTTATACACTAAAAATATTTCAAGAGAGTTTTTGCATCAGACACAATTCCTCTGGGACCAGTGGAATTGTGGTTCTACTTGAGACTGAGCCAGTGAGATCTGAATGTGGTGTGGCTCTTGACTTCATGGGAGAACTACCACTGATGTTCAAATTCTAAATCCTTAGAAAACACTCATTGAAAATATGCCACTAAACTGCTTTCAAGATGTCTTCTTGAGGTGACACAACAAAATCAAACACTCTATCCTGGGCATGAATATGCAGTGTTTATTAACATTTGATGGGGAAGCTGAAAAGGACAATAGTCAGATTTTTGTCTTACACAATAATCCTGGGGGGTATAAGAGAGGCCTGAAACACTGTGCAAGAAGCACAGTGCCATTTTTTAAAAGTAATAAAAATAATAAGAAGTATGTCCTCTTGGTGGAAATAAAAGAACCTCTTTGTAGCGATTCCCACATTGTGATTTCGGAGATACATCTGAGACATTTTATCATCTCAATTTAAAATCATTTGAAAACTCCATTTGCAAGTGCAATGATTCACTTCTGATTATGATGACCTAAAACTAACCCTCCTTGTTTGTATGTAACTGAATGGTATCCATACTGCTTCTTTTATTCTGAACTATTATCCTATGTCTGGATGAAAGATATATATCATGGGACAATAGCAATACATGTCTGATTTATCAATGTTGAAATATTTTAATCCAACAAGTGGATGCGATAATTTCCACGAATATTCCTCATGGTGAGTTTTGAAATGCTTATAGAGTAGCGTTAGTCTCATGAAAGTCTGAATGTTCCTATTTACTCACCAAAGGCACCTAATATGCTAATAAAGATAGAAACATTAAAAGTAAAATGATTATTGTGCTCTAGTGTTTCAAAGGTATAACGATTTTCATTTAAACACCTCCATTTATCCTGTTTAAGGTTTCAGGCTCTGTATAACTATAATCCTAGGAATGAAGATGAGCTGGAGCTCAGAGAAAGTGACGTCATCGATGTGATGGAAAAGTGTGATGACGGATGGTTTGTGGGTATGTGTACAATCCTCTCAGATACTGACCTTCGTGTAATGGGTTTGTTTCTAACCTGCATGGCTTTATGTGATAGTCAAGTGCTCATTGCTTTTCATAATGCATTTGACCTGTTTTACATTCGCATGCACTATTCTAAGGCATTTGCATTTTTAATATAATTTACTAGTTCATGTATATGTGATTTTTCTGCTACTTTTATTTCCAATTCAACTGAGGGAAGAAAGTTGCTTTGCATAGCAAGAGAGAAAAACTGCCATTTTAGAATAACAGAATGGTTCCCTGATTGAGAAATATTCATACTCTGTTCCATGAAAACTTAGTTAACTGTCAGCAGTGAGGAAATCATTTGAGAAAACTAGAGGAAGTGATTAATTCATCCACTTACTTGAGTCTGGTGTAAATTGCCGACTATCCATGGAATCACCTTAGCTTTAATTTGTGCTAGAAATAGAAGTTCCATTCTTACCATCTTAACAATCTTATTCTTATCATGTTAGAAGAACACAAGAGGTTTTTTGAGAAAATATAGACAAAAATCACACAATGGAATGCAGAGAAAAAAGCAGGAAAGAAATACAGCAGGGGTGGAATTAACAGTTGTCTCAACACCATTTTCTTGTACATTAATAAGAAAAAGTCCCTACCAAAATTGAACAAAACCACAATATCCAAGAACTTGCTTTGCTTCTGTGTCATTTTGCTGAAAGTCACCTTTCTCAAGGGTGACATCACATAAGGACTTACTTTAAAGGTAGAAGAGGATGGAGGAGATGAAAAATGAGGGACTGAGACAGGTATCAGCAGAGATAATAATAAAAGAGCAAAAGCTGCATTTGCAGCCACAAGCTTCTGTTTTATGTTAATTCCTCACTTAGAAGAAAAGGAAAAGTGGCTTATCTACAGTGAAAAACGAAACCAGTCTTCAACCCAGGACAATAAGTTCCAGCACATAAACAAGAATCAAAACTGTCACGATCCTCTTCCCTCTCTCTGAACTGGAAATCTTAAGGAAGAATTGAGGGAACTAATTTTTACAAAAGATTTCAGAGGAAATGTTATTCAAAACCAAAGGTAATCATCACAAAGACCAGTTGTGCATTCGGCATTAGTCCTGGTATTGGAAATTGTTCCCAAGGAAAGAGCCCCAGCCACCAATAATGGTTGGGGTTTTTCATAAATTGCCCTAAATTTGCAATTTGTCCTGACTTTCTCTATTTTATGAAGGACTCTGGCAGTGCTTTTTGTAAATAAATGATGTTGCATTCCTCATGATCTTCTCTAAGACAATAAAACTGGGCAGTGACAGTGTCCCTGATGGCGTAGCCTGTGTCACACCTGCGTTGAGCAGGTGCCTCTTGCTCATGGAACCTGGCTTTGCTCTTGTACTTTTTCCGGTTCATGCTAATGGCAATGCCAGCCTCATCCTTAACGTTTAGTCCTAGGCCATTGCTCACGACAGTCTAGCAGCCTGGGTGACTGGTGTCCCCAGCCACCTTCCCATCAGGACTATATTTCACTTTTCATTGAGAGACTGAGCTTTCTGGTTTAGCTGACTTGACAGAAGCCCCGCATTTTAGCTTAGGAGTCAAGGAAGGCATCAAACAATACAGGTAAGTCTGCTGCCTTTGTCTGATCATCTCTAAAAGGGAGCTTTCTTTTTTCTTTTCCAAACCCTGCAGGGTTTGCTGTCTAATGAAGTCAAGCCCATACACCTGAACTGCTATTGTTCATGTTACTGGTACCCCCCTTTCATGGATTGCTTCTATTTTCAGGAACCTCAAGAAGAACCAAATTCTTTGGTACTTTTCCTGGAAACTATGTCAAGAGGCTGTGACTCACTGTCCTCCCTTATTTATGCCGCATTTCAACAACATCTGCATAAACTTGCCTGAACTCTCCCACAGGCCCTCCATTGTCATGCCTTAGGGTTTCCAATAGAAGTCACTTGCTGTCACCTTCTCCACCTGCCACCAAACCACCAGCAGAATAGCTGCCCCCGCCAAACCTCTGCAGCTGAGCCACAGGAAACTGGCAGGCTTGCTTCCCATCGAAAATGCATCTTCCCTCTTCTTGTTCATAGTTTGGAAATGTTGATCTGTGGAATCAGAAAGAAAATCATTGTACTTCAAAAGGTTTAAATATCTGAGGCAAGAAATCATTTCAAGGAGGCTTTCTGGTCTACCCTGGAAGAGGTTCTCCTCTCAGGCAGAGGGAAGATTGTTTATTGCAAAATGCTGTGGTTTGCATTTTCACATTCTTAGCTTGGCAGTGTATTTTCCTTTCACGAGTTTGCCTAGTGTCCTGGTTTACACGATATGACAACTGTACTTCAGCTAGCATTTGCCTGCACTTATATGTTGTAATATGCACAGTGATTACAAAAATCTAAAGCAAGGGTAGAAAAGTTAATTTGAATGAGTGGTTTTTTTTTTTTTTTGATTGACTGAATGTGACTTTTCAAGTAGGAGTCTTTTCCTGCAGGGTTGTTTTTGTTTGTTTGTTTGTTTTGTACTTTTTAGAAGTGCAAACCGTAAGTGAATAAGAGCCTTTGGTAATAATCAAGAGACTATAAGAGGTTTAGCTAGATGACAAAAACAATATTGTGTTGTAAAGGTGCATTGCTATTTTATATTAAAATGTAATAATCAGCATCATGAACAATGAGCGCTTAGTGTTTTATTTATCTGATAAAATTTAAAGAAAAGCAGTGTTAGTGAGAGGTGCAAAGACTTATGCTAACATAGACACTTGAAAGTATCTGTAAGCAATATTCATAGATAAGATTTCACTGTGTGTACACATATGCATTTGAGATTGTACAAAACAGGCGATCCACATGTGACGGTGTACATTTTATGGAAATGTAAAAGAATCCCATATACTATTTTCTAGAAATAGAGTACTTCAGAAGCATCACAAGTAAGTAGTACAGCTGGCTTTAATAAGGATCATGATCAATACAGTTATTTTTAATATGATAGTTATTTTTCTTCTCTGGAACTCAGAATCCTGGCTACATCTGAAAACAGGAATATGTTGAGCCTGATTTTCCTGGTGTGTGTAAATAGTTCCTTGGAATTCAGACGGCACTTTTTAGAGGCAATGTTAAATCATTCAGGTTCTATTTTCTGCCCTGGAGTAGAAATATTCAAAATTATATTGGCACCTGAAAGGTTTGATATGGCTACCAGTGCCTGACTTACACATAGCCTGAGAACTAGCTTTGTATATCTTATAACTTTGCATAAGAACTATTCCTATTTGGACCTCAGCATCTTGTAGATCACACTTTTTATGGCAATTTCTTTCTGTGGCCAGTGGTTGACCTTTTCACAATGTATGTAGTCTTTAGAATTTTGTACATGTGTTAGCCCTTTTTTGTACAGAACGATTTAGTTGTTGAGAAAACAGGGGAATTTCCTAATTCATTCTTTACCCTTCACTTAAACTACGCAGACTCTCCCCTACCCGCTCCCACACCACAGCACGCCTTGATAGTGCGATTCTATAAGATAGCGTTTATGCGAAAGGTTATGAACTTGAAAGATCTTAGCAGCCAAACTGAAATGTACATAAATACTGATTATGGGGGAATTCCATTAAAAAGATAAAGAAATAGCTTTGGGTAGCCTATCTTGATTACTATCAAGTTCACAACTGGCTTTATATATTTAAAAAGGCTTTGATTCAGGTTTGAAATTGAGTCAACTGCATGCAGCTTCGCTGATCAATGAAAAATTATCTCTGATGGCATCTCTGAGAAAAGACTTCAATATCTGTTGCCTGTCATATTTCACAAGAATTGCTGTTTCTACTCTGTATTTGATTTTAAAGAAAAATATTCATACCTGGCTTTCAGGTAATTGACTTTGAATTCTTACAAACAAAGATCATTGTGTTTTTCTTGAATAGACGGCTAATAAATTTTGCTTGGAAGTACACTTCAGTCTTTCTTCTTGACATTTATCCTTCAGTGAATTCTCTATGGCATCTCCGTTTGTTAGATCAACTAAGAGAAAATGCATCTGCTGTGGGTTCTCCTGACACACAAATGGAGAAAAGATGGATCTCCATAAACTCAGAGAAGAAATAGTTTTTAAACCCTCCACCAAAGCCCATTTGCTAAATGCTCTGGCTAAAAATTGTTCTTCAGATAAACAACACATTTTAAAATATTTCTGCCTCCACAAACAATGGGGTTTGGGGACAAGGGGTCAAGAGAGGGAAGGGAAGAGCGCAAGGGACTGTGGTGAGGGGTCACAGATGTTATGGTGGGTGGGGGATTGGGACCCACCCAATGAAAAAGATGTAAGAAAATAAAATTTTAAAATAAAGTCTTTCAGCCCTCCCTGGTGGCTCAGCGGGTTAAAAAGCACAGCACTAAGAGCTAAAGCCACTTCAGCATGAGTTTGATCCCCGCCCACCCCCAAGGTGATCCAGAGGGCACTCAGACCTCTCCTGACCCGCCTGCTGCTCCCCTCAGCAGTGTACTTTGTCAGCTGGCCTGTTCTGCTCCCCACTCTGTCTCTGGTGAATCCTCTCACCACCCCTGCCCCTCTGGCCTGTACCCCAGTTCTGTATGAATCAATAAATAAATCTTTTTTAAAAATTTAAAAATATATATTTTAAAAAATAACAATAAAGTCTTTCAATATATCTATTTCTGCCTCCTAACAGCTAGTTTTCCAGGGAGAAGTTAATTACAGAAGCTGTAAGGATTTTCCCAACTCAACTATCTCACAATTTCAAACCTTGCTCTGACGAGCTTTAGCACTGCTGGCACAATCTGGTATACTCACAGGCTTTACATGAGTGTCAGATCACGTGCTGTCATGGGGTCATTCTTTTCTCTCACACAAACAGTAATCAGCTAGTTTTCTTCCCTGGGCGCTTCCTAATGTCTTAATGCCTTCTGCTCTCTGTGTTTCCATCTTCTTTCATTGCATTCACATTGAGAAAGTCCCAGGGGGACACCTCCTCATGCTACTTCACACTCATGGCCCCCACCCCCTCCATTCCAGAGACTAATTTCCACTCTGTGTGAGCTTTCCATGAAGGGACTCCCTCTGTCAGAATTTGTCCCTGTTTCCTTCATAGCATGTGTGGGTATCACAACTAGTTAAATCTGAACAAATTCAGGGTGCATGTTTGTGCACTCGGAGGTTGCTCAGTGTTGCTTTCTGCAAGTAAATCTACTAACTACCAAATGATCGGCACTCTAAAAATATAAATCTGAGATTTTAAATGCACCCGCATCAAAGCCTGGGTTTCTTTGTTCTACTTGTGAATGAGTCATTCTCTTTGTGCTTCTCTATAAAATGTGCTGAGGTGCAAGTTTTATCAAAACCCTGAGCTCAGGAAGCCCTACACAGCTTGTGGCTTGTGCAGAGTTGTGTTGCAGGCACTGGGCCGAGGTCCAGAACAGCTACAGGGCCATGGTTTGACCCTGCGACCATGCTTCTTCATTGTGGATGCCAGGATTCTAGGTGGAATTCTGGATTATTTTTTGGTTCAAGCTTGTTTAAAAGTTAGTAGCCTATTTTACTTGACTTTCTGTCCATGCCTACGCATCCAAGATGCCAAAACTTACATAACGCATATGACCCTAGAGGCCTTCTAGGGCGGAATTGGATCCATTGTTTGGAACGCAACACAGTGAGGCCAATGAGACACTATCTCTCTCTCCTGACTGGCCTTTATTTATCTACTGGAAGCACATCTGCACACCAACTGGATGCCCAGGTCAGTGGAAGGACAGCAGGAAAGATTCCGTGACTATTCCCTGCTTGGTTGCTCTTGGTAGCTGGCCCGTGTGTCCTGATTGTTTCTTCCCACCATTTTCCAGATTTCAACCATAAAGGGAACTATTAGTTAAATAATCACTTGATTAAATAAGACTAAACACTTTGTCAGTTTCCAAGAGCCTGTTTCTGAAAGATTTGTTTCATCTTCTTTTCTGGATTGTAGCCTTCTAATAGTTGTTTATATCTCAACTATGATTTCAAATTTTACTCATCATGAATGATTAGGTCCCAGAGCTGAAACAGAGAATAATGTTACCAGACTCAGCCTCTGCTTGTTTTTGTAAGGCCTGCAAGTTAAGCTTGTAGATGAATATTAACAGTTCCTCAATTCTTTGAGAACATGAACTTCGAACTCAATTTAAGTGAACCGTTGTCTCTCCAGAAAAAGAATCCCTTTCTTTTTAATTTAGTCAGTCTAAATTAAAGCATTAACTTACTATTATAGTTTGAATTTCATCAATGACAAGATTGGTAAAAATTTGTGTTCTAATTGTTTTGTAACTATGTCCTCCATTTTGCCTCCTGCCCCAAGAATCTAAAATGTTTCTCTCTGTTCCTTTAGAAAGTCTATGAACTGATGTTAAGCCACTTGTCACCAACAAATCTACTCAGTGACTAGAGGGGCAAGAATACTGAATGTCTGTTATCTTTCAAATTGTTATCTGTGCATACCGAGCTATTATGCACATGTTGAATTCCATGTTTTTATCCCCACAGCAAATCTGAGGAGATCTGCTTTTGTGCCCATTTTATAGGGAGGAGGTTGAGACTCTGAGAAAGTAATAAAAACACGCATGAAACATCAGATTTAGAATCTGATGTGTGTCTATCACCATGCCTGTACTGTCTTCTAAACCACTCCAGCTTTTGCTAAACACTTTGCACACTCCTAGCTCCTTCCCTCTCTGCCTTCTAGAATAGCCACCCAATCATAACAGCAGCTTTGTGCACAGGATGACAAGAAAGGTGTATGTGTTCAGTGTCCCTGTGAAGCTAACTTGGTTTCTGGAAGTACACCGTAACCAGTGAAGATTAAGACATGTCTTAATTGAGCATGAGCCTGCTCGTGACTGTGATTCACTGAGGCCCTCGTGGCTTGGTGGCCAGCAGGCAGCTGGTGGTGGCTTCGGGAAGTGCTCGGTCAGTGTGGTGAACCACTTGGAGACAGGAGAGCCCAGCGTGCTCTAGGAACACGGTGTGCTTACTGGCCTTTTCACTCTACAAAGTCCCAGGATACACTATCCTGGGTGACTCACTGAGTGACCCAAAGCCTTAGCTCACCGCTAAAATCAGTCCCATGGTAGCTCAGGAAAGTTCCATCTGAGCTCATGCACATACATATACTTGACCCAAACAACTTTTAGTGCAAGACAGAAATCTGCCCAGCAAATCTTCACCTGTTCCTTTGGGGTTTCTTATTTCATCCTTTTCCCTAAAATACAACAGATGACTCAGTTGCCCCAGTATCTTCCAAAAATAAGTGCCATTTCAAACAAAACTCTTGTTACCATTAACAACACTAATCTTGCATGCGAGTTCAAGCTTGCATTACAGACAGCTTGAGGAATGACTTTTTCAAACATGTTTTCTTTTTTAATATACAAGCAACAGATGCTTATTGTAGGAAAATTGGAAAATATAAATGCACAAAAAGAAGAAACAGAATTAATTAGAGCCCAATTTAGGGTAAAGAGTGCATTTTGGAACATATCCCTCCAGAGTATTTTTCTATCCTGGATAATAGGATGTAAGTGAGGGAATGTGTTTGTGTGTGTGTGTATGTGTGTAATATGTAAGCAAAAGTGGGATCATACAACATATGTGTAAACTGCTACATTGAGCAAGACTTTTAAA